TTTAGCCATTGCCACCCAGCAAACAGACAAACAGCTCAAATACATATAAAGCATTGATAACTTCCTTACAACGATCAATCCCAGACCAAATTCTTAACACGTTTCTCAAAATTATTCCCAGAAGTAATTTCCAACTTACTGTGACACTAAGGTGAACATACTGTGGTATAGGGTTTTCTTGACAAGACTTATTCAGAGGGTGCAGGGGAGGTGAGGTTACCTTTTCCTTCCTCTGAGACAGAGAGAGAGAGTGGTTTGCCAAGGCAAGCCATGGTTTCTATGGCAGAACAGGGATTTCAATCCTGATCTCCAGAATCTTGGCCCAACACACAAAATACTACATCTTGTTAGTTCTCTTTTTTAAAGTTACCTTGAATAAATATTAATTTCCTAAAGGGAGAAGATTTTATAATTGTGGGGTATCCATAGAAGATCTGTGTCCAAATCTTTTATTTCTGATTTTGTACTTGGGTTAAAATTAAAAGAGCAGTCTTGGTGGATTGAATAAAAGAGTATGGGAAGTTATCTTTGCGAAGCAACAACCTATAGAGTTAAACATGGACCCCTACTTTCAGCAGGAATTGGTGATTTGCTTTTAAAACTGAATGACCACCTATTGGTTATTGGCAGGAATCCAAAATGTAGTCTTAAAATTAACAACCATGTTATTGTATTCTGTAACTTGCATGAAGAAGTAGAGACATTCTCAGAATGTACATGTAATGTATATGATGGAAGATTTCCTTCCCTCTACTCAGTGAGCATGATATTTACAAACAATAGATAACACTTGGGTGTTAGTAGACAATTTCAAAATAAATTTGAGATCCTTCATCTTTGTTATGAAAGCCAGAAGCCAGTGGTTGTTGGAATGATGAAGTATTGCGATTATGTACTTATAGGTATTCCTGTTTTCTAGGAGACATAGCTTGAACTATACTTTTCCTGCTGCTCCATGTAGGCAAGAAAAAGTAAGACTTTCTGGTTTCCCCACATGTGGGGTACTAACCCTAGGACGCCATTTTTTCCTGTCTTGCTTGAGATAGTGCATGCTTATTATACCTGCTGGTTGTTACAACCACTTCAAACCCTTTACTGTCTTCTCTCTGAGACTTTTCTGTTCCTCCTTGTATCATTTTTTTAAAATCTTACCCTCTGTCCTAGGAGCTATTGAAGGATTTTTTCTGTATGAGATTAAGATTAGTCAAAATCTGAATAAATTGATAAAGAAGAAGGTATTTTAGATCAAATCAGGGGGTGCTGTGGTTTTTAGCTTTGAATATGTTTCTATTGATTTTAACTGTTTTTTTTAATACCACTGATATTTAGTTATGTTTTAATCTTTGTATATTTTAAATCGTATTGAAATACTTTTAATGTAAGCCACTTTGAGTCTCCTTGTGGAGAGAAAAAGCAGGGTATAAATAATAATCATCATCATTATTGTGGCAGTCTTTACTGTGGATGGTCCAGTTCAGCACCAGGGCTCAGGTGGTGTTTGTTGCAGTTAGGCACAGACTTTTACTTAAGAATTGGAATGTCGATTCATGCTCCAAACAGTTTCTTGTGGAAAACAAGTATGCAAAGAAAGCTGGAGTTCTAAGTATGAGGAAGGATTAAAAGAAGAGCACAATTTCCTTTGTGCTTCTAGAACCAGTCCCTTCCTTCAGTTTTCTCAAGCCAGGGATTCTAAAAGCTTCAGGCTACTGTGAGCGGAACAGAGACTTCATTCTAGCACCAGCCCTCACTTCAGCAGGCCACCCTCAGTCTAACAACAATGGCAGAGGACAACAAGCATCAGTAAGACTGTATATTTGTCTTCTGAAGTATCTTTTTCTTTGGTTGTAATAGTGACTGACCTCCTAGGGTTGGCTTCCCCACTCCCCAGATGCAGACCCTGGAAGGTTTTTCCTTTCTTTGTTTGCCCATCTAGAGGAATTGGAGGAGCATAATCCAAACTACAAGAAGTGCCTCTCTTATCTGCTAGAAAACAGACATACCACAGTTAAGAACCAATGTTCCCATTTCGTCATTCTGCATTATGAACCACATTGGACAAAAACGTGTGAAGGAGTGACATACAAATTTTCTAGTGTTGATGCTGAGAGTGAGTTTGTTGAAGATATGTCATTGTGGTGCAAGTGGGAAGTACTGTATTTACTCAGTTGTAATGTGCAGGAGACTGGACTTCACCAGATGGTCAACACCGAGATCAGATTGACTACATCCTTTGCAGCCAAAGGTGGCGGACATCCATCCAGTCAGTGAAAACAAGACCTGTGGCTGACTGTAGTTCAGATCACGAACTTCTTATTGCTCAATTTAGAATAAAACTAAAGAGATCAGGGAAAACACACAGACCAGTTAGATATGATCTCACTAACATTCTTAGTGAATATGCAGTGGAAGTGAAGAACAGATTTGAAGGACTAGATTTAGTAAACAGAGTCCCAGAAGAACTATGGACAGAAGTCCGCGACATTGTTGAGGAGGCGGCAACAAAGTACATCCCAAAGAAAAAGAAAACAAAGAAGGCAAAATGGCTGTCTTCTGAGACACTGGAAGAAGCCCAAGAAAGGAGGAAAGCAAAAGGAAACAGTGATAAGGGGAGATATGCCCAGTTAAATGCGCAATTCCAGAGGTTAGCCAGAAGAGATAAGGAACTATTTTTAAATAAGCAATGCATGGAAGTGGAAGAAGACAACAGAATAGGAAGGACAAGAGACCTCTTCCAGAAAATTAGAAACATTGGAGGTAAATTTCAGGCAAAAATTGGTATGATAAGAAACAAAGATGGCAGGGACCTAACAGAAGCTGAAGAGATCAAGAGAAGGTGGCGAGACTATACAGAAGATCTGTATAAGAAGGATAATAATGTCGAGGATAGTTTCAGGCAATGGTGTGGTGAGTGAATGAGAACCAGACATCCTGAGGAGTGAGGTTGAATGGGCCTTAAGAAGCATTACTAACAACAAGGCAGCAGGAGATGACGGGATCCCAGCTGAATTGTTTAAAATCTTGAAAGATGATGTTGTCAAGGTGATGCATGCCATTTGCCAGCACATATGGAAAACACAAGAATGGCCATCAGACTGGAAAAAAATCAACTTATATCCCCATACCAAAAAAGGGAAATGCTAAAGACTGCTCAGACTTCTGTACCGTGGCCCTTATTTCTCATGCCAGTAAGGTAATGCTCAAGATCCTGCAAGGAAGACTCCAGCAATACAAGGAGCAAGAGTTGCCAGATGTACAAGCTGGGTTTAGAAAAGGCAGAGGAACCATAGACCAAATTGCCAATATCCGTTGGGTAATGGAGAAAGGCAGGGAGTTTCGGAAAAACATCTATTTCTGTTTTATTGACTATTCTAAAGCTTTTGACTGTGCGGATCATAATAAATTGTGGCAAGTTCTTGGTGGGATGGGCATACCAAATCACCTTGTCTCTCTCCTGAGGAATCTTTATATGGACCAAGTAACAACAGTAAGAACTGACCATGGAACAACAGACTGGTTCAAGATTGGGAAAGGCATACGGCAGGGTTGTATACTCTCACCCAACCTATTCAACTTGTATGCAGAACACATCATGCAATGTGCTGGGCTTGATGAATGTAAGGCTGGGGTAAAAATTGCTGGAAGAAACATTAACAACCTTAGATATGCAAATGATACCACTTTGATAGCCGAAAGCGAGATGGAGCTGAGGAGCCTTCTAATAAAGGTGAAAGAAGAAAGTGCAAAAGCTGGGTTGCAGCTAAACATAAATTAAAAAAAAAAAAAACAAGATCATGGCAACAAGAATGATTGACAACTGGGAAATAGAGGGAGGCAGTGACAGACTTTGTATTTCTAGGTGCAAAGATTACTGCAAACTCAGACTGCAGGCTCAGACTGCAGCCAGGAAATCAGGAGACGCTTACTTCTTGGGAGGAGAGCAATGTCCAATCTCGATAAAACAGTGAAGAGTAGAGCTGGGCCTTAGGGACGGCAGAGCGAAGGAAGATAGATGCTTTTGAACTGTGGTGTTGGAGGAAAGTTCTGAGAGTGCCTTGGACAGCGAGAAGATCCAACCAGTCCATACTTCAGGAAATAAAGCCTGACTGCTCATTGGAGGGAAAGATAGTAGAGGCAAAGATGAAGTATATTGTCGAAGGCTTTCATGGCCAGAATGACTGGATGGTTGTAGGCTATATGGCCATGTTCTAGAGGCATTTTCTCCTGACGTTTTGCCTGCATCTATGGCAAGCATCCTCAGAGGTTGCGAGGTCTGTTGGAACTAGGAAAATTGGGTTTATATATTTGTGGAATGACCAGGGTGGGACAAAGAACTTTTGTCTGTTGGAGCTAGGTGTGAATGTTTTAACTGACCACCTTGATTAGCATTTGATGGCCTGGCAATTTTTTGGTGTGGCTTGTTAGTGCCTGGGGGAAATCTTTTGTTGAAGGAAGAAACCATGAAAATGAACAAAATCTGGCTACCAGTATTAAAAAAACACTCTAAAATTACAACAGCAAAACAACAGAGAGGAAACAATCAGGGACAGCTAATCACCTTGCCCTTCACATGTGGGCATCTAACGGGCTGTGCCAATAGAAGAGAGGGTCAGGGCAGGCAGAACGACGTGACACGCAGTGCCCCAACACTATGCTCTCTTGGATGTGGCTCCACCCTGCTGTTGTGCGAGGCTTAGCAGGCTGCGTGTGCACTCTGGCTCCAGAAAGGGGGGGGGGGCAGCCGGAGCGTGCGTGCAGTTGGATCCAGAGGGGTGCTGAACAGCTCTTTGTAAGAACTAGATGTTCTTGGAGATGGTGGGGTCAATACTTTTTACTGGTGCCTTATACATTGTAATACTTCAGGAAATATTAAAGAAGACTGACAAATTGTATGTAAAATCAATAGCATATTCATGTGCAGGTATGTGTTTGCAGTGATCCTGGTTCAAGAACAGAATGGATAAAGAAGGATAACGAATTCAATGGTGTGATCTGGATGAAGTAACACTGAGTGAGATTTACAAATTGTCATGCGGCATAGTGTACAACCCTGATATGAGTGTGGTCCTCTGTATGAATCTTGTGGAAAATAGTTTGCCACTATCCACCAGTAGTAGTTCTCATTCTAGAATAATCTGAAACAAAATTATCATATATGTAGATATTTTTAAAGCTAGTGATTTATTTGGCCTATGTATTTATCCACTTTAGCTAGTAATCTGGACCAAATCATTTTAGTTTTTGTCACTAGAACTTTTAAAAGCAGAAATAATTTGATATTACATTAAAAGTGATAATTTGTGGAGAGAATATCATGTGCTCCCTTAATCCAGAATGGTGTTTCCTTCTTTTTTGCATTTTAAGCAGTGATTAGGCTGTATGCTCCTGTTATATGATAATAAGTAGAAAAATCAGAAAGTAACAAATACAAAATGTGTCAGTTCAAAAATTGTATCTAAATACTATATTGTTATTTACTTTTATGGTTTAATCTTTTGCCTTACTCTTTGCTGTATCAAAATTAAAGTAAAACTTAATTATGTGTGAATTTGGATGCCATTCTACTTCATCTTCAACTGGCAGAGCAGGAAGAGGAACAGTTTCCACTCACACCTTCAGCATTTACATTGATGTTTGGAGGTAGATTTTTTTAGAGATGCAGAGGACAAAAGAAAGGAAGGAAGGAAGACCGACCTGTGGCACGAGAAGACTTGTGCCCATGTAGAACTGGGCTCAATTGGTTTTCCATTTCTCTTTTTCAATGCTGTTTTAAACCTGTTTGAAATGTGCTAAAATGCACCTTGGAATTTACTGAAAATCTACTCTCCTGTTTCCATTTCTGAGTTGACCAGCTAATTTCTGGTGTTTTATGCAATTTTGCAAGTCAGAAAGATTGTGAGGTCTTGAAGACTAATGTTAACCTCAGGCAATGTTTGGAGGCATTTAATGGGGAGTTTCTTTTCCAAAATATATGTTTTTTAAAAAATTGAGTGTGTGCGAAACTCAGGAGGAATTAGTAGCTACAGACAGTTTTGGGAGCTATAATATCACCGCGCCTAACATAGAGATATCTTTTTGTCAGTAGAAGATAATCCGTTTTTCTTTTTTCGGATACTTTAAAATAAAATATTTATTTAAAATAGTTTTTATTTTTGTTTTTACTGAGGGTGGTTGGTGGGTTGTGCTTTCCCCCTTATGTTGAGAAACTATTAAATACTCAGGTGAACTCAGATAAAGCCAACCAAAATTGTACAAACAATTCTTTGAACAATTCTTGTCATTTAAAATTGTTTATTTTTATTGTTTCAGTTTGACCTTCACCTATTGACAACATGTACCTTTAGTAAATCACTGTTCACAATAAGGAGCACAGAACAAAATTCTGTTTCTACTGAAACCAACCCTAGCAAAGTTGCTCAATCCTGCCTTTTGAACAATATAGCCTCACTTTTCCATCAGCAGGACAGGTTTGTCTCTGCTTCACTAGACAACCCTGTCTTCCAGGAGGGGAAGCTGTATTGTTTAAAGAGCAAGGTTGAACCACCCCTAAAATCCAGAATGGAAGAACATGTTTATGGTGAAAGAATAGCCATCAATTACAGTTGTAGACATATTAAGCTCTGAGTCTAAACATTAGAAGCTACCAACAGCCCTTATCTTATTTCTCATTGAAGATGAGTCTCCTAAACATTAATTTTCAAAATAAATGTGAATGTTATAATACCAATGTATGCCAGTATAAGTTGCAAATTATTTTGAAAAACTTTGAAAAAGCATTTAGATAAAATTCTATGAAAATAGATCAGCAGGGTCACTATCACAATCAGTAAAAGTGAATAATACATGTTTAGGATACTTTCTAGTGTGCTTAAAGAATTCTTATAAACATGGGAAGAGTGTAAGGTGAAGGAAATGATTCACATACACAGCTCCCCCAGGAATTTCTTAAGTTACTTCATCAAAATTGCTTAGTACTTTGACTACATGTCAGTCCAAACAGTTGCGTCAACACAAATGGAAAACAAATA